CTCTGCTCCCAGGGGATCAGGGACAGGACAAGAGGGAACGGCTGGAAACTGCCCCAGGGGAGGGTCAGGCTGGGCAGGAGGAGAAAATGTTTCCCAGCACGAGTGGTCCGAGAGTGGAACAGGCTGCCCAGGGAGGGGGGAGTCCCCATCCCTGGGGGGTTTAAGGGTTGTTGGGATGAGCTGTGGGGGGATGTGGGGTAGGGGTGAGCTTTGTAGAGTTAGGCTGAGGGTTGGACACGATGATCCCGAGGGGCTTTTCCAACCTGAATGATTCTGGGATTCTGTGATTTGGGTGAGGGAGGAAATAGTTACACCTAAAGCTGGTCCTGTCTGTGGGGCTCACCTCATACCAGCCCTGCTGACCACTGCTCCGGGTGAAACACGGCCCTGCTGTCACCCTCACACGCCACGTTCCCACTCGTTTCCTCTTCCTTCCTCCTCTAGACTCCGAAGGAGTTTTTCACGATATGGACAGTGAGAGCATCAGCCACCTGGGAGACTGCCTGCTGTCCACGGCTGAAGCCAACCTCCTCCAAGCCCGCGTGGGCAACCCCATTGACCGACTCTACTCCATGCAGAGCTCCTACTTCACATCCTGACCATAGAAAAGCTTCCGACTCTTCACGAGTATCTTGCATGGATGCTGCTTCAAATTCAGAACCAGGGCGAGGGAGAAGAAACAAGACTGAGACCTTCAGAGACTTTCCTTGAGCACTGCACAACGGAGGAGGCAACGAGGTCCGCCACACATATAAGCACTAACTCATGGAGACCTTCCGCAGCCTGAAGGACTTTGGATCGCCTCTCTCCTTTTTCCTAGCCACGAGTAGATCGATGGTATGATGTTGTTTAGCTGTAACTTTAGCAGTTTGTCCAGTGTTTAAGCTTTTGAGCATTATGTCCTGCAAACAAAGACTGGCCAAGCTACCCAGAGCTGCCCCTCGAAGCAGGAGGAGGTGCTCCTTCCCACAAGAACTCAGTTTATTGAAGTCTCGGTTGCAGCTCAGCTCTCGCTGTGCTGCTTTGCCTCATTTCCCAATCCAGATGCAGACTTCATGGGACAAGGTTAATCTTCAACACTAAAATCCAAGGCCTGGAGGATGGATGCCACTGCTGCTGCTGCAGAGATTTTCTAGGTGGTCATCAATCAGCTGGCCCAGGACAGTTTTTTTAACGTTTGACATTTCAGGAATGCACAGTAGTTTGGCTCCTGACTGGAACGCCTATGCTGGGGTATCTGCTACAAGAAACAACAGAATATTTATCCTCTGTCATGTTCCAGGATGCCAAGAGAAGTTTAACACCCTCACAGTGAGTCCTCTATGGCCTTTATGTCTGTCTCTCTAAAAGAGCAGTTTTACTCCCTTTATGGACAAAGACTTTCACAAAATGACAGCTGCCAGCCACGCTAATTTCTGTTGGTTTCTTTTTTTTAAAACAGCAAGGTGAAACAATTCCACTCTAAAAATATTCCTGCTAGAGAGCCCTTCCTCTGCAGGTCTGTCCACAGAGGGATGTCCCACCCCGGCTGCGCTCGCAGTTTGCTCAGGGCATCCTGGCACCTCGCTTCCCTCCAACCAGCAACGAGAGAAAGGAACCGGGTTGCATTGTCTCGTGACGTGGCCCTGCCAAGCTGCTTAACTCCAAGAGGCCACGTTTGGTTTTCACTCTGAGGGCAACCCGGGGGTGGTATCAGAACTCGGCCAAGAGAAACGCACATCTCCGCTGCGGATGGAAAGGAATAATTCGTTTTCTCCATCCATCATCACGCCACGAGGCGAGTTATGAGAAGCAGGTGGGCACCAACGTGTGTACCCAAACAAAGGGCAAGAAAGAGAGAGCAGAGAATGAAAGTCTGAATTATTACCAAAGGGAAATTCTTTATTCTCCTGCCTAGGACCCAAGTCTGGGATTTCGTTCTTTATACACATGAAGGATAGTCGGTGTTCCTGGAAAGGTCAGGTTTTCCCACGAGCCCGCTTGCTGGAGGAATACAGTCCTCCAGAACTAACCTTCCCTCGTCTATTTGAACGGAACAACCGGCGGACAACTCCAAAAGGAAATAATGACTTATTTTTAAATCTTGGATCTCCAGAGTTGTGAGTCTAGCGGTGCAACCTGAGAACCTGGCTGACTGATGTTTCTGTAGGTGGTGTTTTACTTCTAAGCCTCCACAGGCTTGTCGGTCTGATTTTAAAGGTGTGTAGCCTCTCAAATGAGGAAAAAAAAAAAAAAAAGATTAATTTTTGTTGTCTGCAGTTATGGTGGAAGATTCCCAGGAACTAAAAAATGCAGGATTTGGGAATGAAAGGAGATGCAGTCCTGATGCATTTTGGGTTTTATCTGGACCTTTTCACCTTCTCGACTACTTACAGAGAACTGACATAAAGAACGACGTGTAACAGAACCACAGCCCTCAGATGGCTCCGCCGTTGCTTCACCTTCAATAAAGCTGTGTGAACGTGACACGTGCTGATGTGCAGTCCCTTCCCGTTGCGTTTCCAGTGCCAGGTTTGGTCGCTGGACTTGCCTTTGCTCTCAGTATGGGTGTCCCTCCCCGGAAGGCAGTCGTGTACATAGTTTACAGACACTTTGACATTTTTTTATGAGGGAAGGGGGAGCCTTTCGCAGAAACAGCTATTTATGACACATCTTTGCCAGGATAGACAAGTTCTAGACCAAGCTGCTGCAGTTGGGTGACTTCCACCTTTGTTGTGTGGTCATCCACCCCTACGAAACAAAACAGAAAAGCTCTTAAAGCTGTATGTTACTTTTAGAGGCTCTTGCACTAGAAACAGTCTCAGTTTAGATTAAGTTTTAAGAGAATGTTACAGTGAACTATGTGCAAATCGATGTTTCTCCCAAATACCAGAGCCAGCTTCACCCACTGCAACCCCACCCTCTCTTCCTTGTGATCTAGTGCTGTGATGTGCCGATGGTTTTTTTTGCATGTACGTTTGAAAATAAAAAAAAAAAAAAAAAGCAAACTGTAAGTGGAAATCTGAAGCTTGCCTCAGCATGGTCAGACAAACTGCCCACACCAGCAGGCTGCTGGCTCCCTGCAGACCCATAAAGGTTGGCCTGGGCTTCTCAGGAGGATGGCCCATCCGTTACCTTTCCCAGGAACCGGGTATCCTGGAGCAAAGGAGCAGCAGTGCTGGCAGCTGTTCGTCCCCTAACGGAGTCAGCACACTCCATAGTCACGGTTAGTTGCAAGCAGAACTACAATCCCAGCGTGAATAAATAAATATGGTGAAAGAGCTACGCTAGACTGGGAGCTACTGATGCAAAGGAGCCTGATGGTGACAAGAAAGTTCCAGTACAAGAGCCAGGGATGAGATCCACACCCTATAGCTAAGGAGAGAAACGCCTGCTAGGTTCTAAGTGCTCTCCAATTTTGAGTCCAAATTCTGCAGGTGGACACCAGCACCACGGCTGATTGAGCCCAGAAGCTCTCAGGCTGGTCCAGCAAGTCCTGCTGCTTCTCTTACCAAAGCTGCTTTTAGCACCAAGAGCTTAGCAGATACCTGCTCTCTATCAGAGCTCGGCGACTGCAGGTGAATTTACTCCCAACTGTATCTCGCAGCTGGAAGTTGTCTTGGAGTGACAAGAGGCTCGGGGAGACAGTGGCAGCAACTGGGAAGAGGAAGTAGCTTTGTGTACGTATGCGGAAGGGATCTGACCCTCTGGCAACCGAGGGGTATCAACGTGCACCCCAAAGCACCTATGGACACCCCCGAATTCAGTCTCACGGCTCTCGTAGCACTTGGGAAACGTGTACTTGAGAGGAAACAGCAGAAAGAGGCGAAGCTCGCTCCGCAGCAGAGTGAAGAATAGAATCACACACACCTGGGCTAACACTCACAATTTTGGCTTTGCCTTTCTGCTCTGCATGGCCAAGAGAGAGAACAATTGCTCTCATCAAGCAGGGGGGTGCAGGTCCTCGGCTGAGACATGCCAACGTGTTTGCTGAGGAGGGTTTGGGAATGCCCACTGCTCTCCAAAACGCCCCGATGTGTTTCTCCCTTGTCTTTGCAGACAGGAGAATAAAGGTGAATAAAAGCCAGTCGAGGTGACAAGACTGACCACGAGATGAAAAATGCTCCCCTCTGCCCACACAATTTCCCTCGTGCTCCTGAGTGACTCAAAAAATCATCTGGACAACAGCCAAGTAAAGCAAATGTGTGTGTGAATGGAATGTGGCTCCGCAGAGCTCTCTGCCCTCGACAGTTGCCCATTTCAGACCCGGGCCTGCCAGCAGCACTAAATCTCTCCCTGTGACTGCAAACACCAAAGGAACACGCTGATTTATGGTTCCTTTAAGTAAGAGAAGCAGAGTGTAAAACGAGAATATTTTCTGGATGAAAAATTAAAGAGATGTTTTTGTTAGTTCCTCATTCTAGGATCATGTGTAATTTACCTTATTGGTTTTAAAGTTCCACTTGAAAGGAAAAGTGACATCAACAGGAGTTAAAGCAACAGGCTGAAAAAAGTCCCGACACACTTTACTTCACATTCTGAGAGATCTAAACCAAAAAGAAATGGAGGAAAAACAAAGCAGAGGATTAACCAACCTAATGATCCTTGGCTTTCTCTTACTTAAGGACTTCAGAACTCCTTGCATGCATTAATTAATTATTCCTCATTATTCCCCAGCCCAGTAGGTGTTATTTATTTCAGAGGTGAGTAAACAGACATAGAACATGTCACAAGTAGCTTCCAAGGCCACACAGAAACAGAGGGTAGGTTAAAACAGAAAAAACCTGACATCCAGTTTGCTTGACTACCAGCCAACATGCACATTTGCCTGAAAACAAGGGCCAAGAATAATTAAAAGTGGATAAAACACACAACCAGGAGATGGAAACCAAGCAGAGAATGGCAGAGCCCATGCCAGAAGATAAGAAACGGAAGGACTACAGTGACACAGAGGGACAACCAGCTCTCACCCATCTTAGAACACTCCTTTGGGTTCTTCTCTTTGGTACTGCAGGGCTTTAGTGTTTATTTCTGGTCTGGTTTGTTTGGAAGGATGTGAGAGGAACAACCTATCCAAATCCTGCTCTAAATACACTTTTTTTTTTTCTCCCCCGAGTCTCCCACTCTGGGAAATACAGGTTTATTCACTTATTGATTGCAGCCACTTGGCATTAATTTAGCTGAGTCTCTTCGCAGCTTTCGGAGATGAAGCTGAACCTACCAGTTTGATTGACTGCCCGAGGACTTTTTCCCCTTGTTCAGCTTTATGCTGGTAACTGTCCTAACGGCTTCCTGCGCTTGCTTCCATGAGCCTGTCCTCATCAAACCAAGAGGTGCAAGGCAGAATCACAATCCCGTGGTACAAGAAATGAGAAGAACGCTTGCTGGGTTCCTAAATCTTGTTTAATTCGCAAGTTTTCACTGGTCTCCCTTGCCAGTTTACACCTTGTGAAAGACACTGGAAGAAGCCATGCTTCTTTTACCTTTATTGCTAAATGTTTCCAGTGACAGGACCAAACACCCAACAGCTGGATTTGGAAAGAACAGCTTTTCGTGACACTTGCAGGGACACGTGCTGGCCCCGTGTACTACAGTGAGACAGAAATAACCACCACCCTGACCTGATTCCAGCAAGAGCAGGTAGCCCATGCAGTTCCAAAGAAGAGGTGAAAGAGCTGCAAAACTGCTCCGGGTTTCTCACTTAAAGAGGTGTTAGGCCCCTCTGCCTAAGTGAGAATTAAACTGATTAATCATGCACATTTAGCTACAGATTCCTTCAAGGCTAAGAGGAAAGCAAGAGAATACTCCCTGGCTTCTTCTAGCACATCCAGCTGAAGAAAAGAGAATTACTGGTATTCCTTTCACTTTTCACAAAGCAATTTGCCAGATCTGCCAGGGCTACAAGCTGATTTAACGTAGAAACTTTCCCAAGGGAGCTGGTAAACTGAGGAAGGCAACAATTTCAGGTAGTGACCATCACCATTCCCTCCATGAGCCCTTCTCAGCTACATGAAGATATTTTCCATTTACATTACACATGCAGTGAAAGATGTGCATTCTTTATTCAGGATAAAACCTAGCAGCTGCCCAGTATTTTCTCAGAAAGCATTTCTCTCCTCAACTGCACACAGAAACAGGATGGGGCAGCACCTTCCTCTTCCCTCTCTCCACAGTAACCAGCCAACTGACCCCCGTGGGAGTTTGGCTCATTGGTGACAGCACCAAGTGCCTGGCAGCTCAGTGGTTAACGTGTTAGAGCAAGTAATAATAGAGTGGCTCTGGCTCCTGAGGAGGAGGAGGAGGCATAACTGGGCTTAAGAGGGGGCCCAGCGCACCTTAAACGTAATGAAAAATGGCTTTTCTGCTGACAGGCTGACATTTCAATACAATGTCAACAACATGTAAAGCACCTTTGCTCCCGTGTAACGGCATCCTTAATAAAGCTATTCACACCACAGACACTTCTGACTAATGGGGTGCTGCCTGGGATAAATAAAACTCCAAAGACTCACCAAAACAGATTTCTCCTCCTTTTCTAGTAGCACTTGGCCCCTCTCTAAATCCATTTTGAAGTGAAGCTACCGTCACCTTTTTCTCCCAACTTTTCTGCCAGAAGATAAAACGGCTCTTTGCATTTGATACAAGGAAACGAGAAATTTTCTGAAAGTGTGTGTGTGTGTGTGTGTGTGTGTGTGTGTTTTCAGACACAAGCCCAGCATCGTCCCACCTCCCCATCACTGCTGAAAGGCAGCCACCTCTGCGAGACACATAGCAACGCCGCCAGCCAGCTTTCTGATCTGGGCTCTGCTAGAAGCTGGAACAGCTCAACTTAAATCTGCTGTTCCTCTCCCCAAAGGAGTTAAACTCTGTCCAACTGGAAAATGCCAAGCGACGTCTGCCAACCACCACGGGCTCAAAGGCGAATGCTTGGACTTACGCCGGGCTGAAACATGGATTAATGTGTCCCAGGAAGGGGGTATGAACCCCTGGGAACCAGGGCAAAGCCAAGTTTCCCAGTCCATGCCTCACCCTCTCTTAGAGGTACAAAAAATCCCTCACAGACCCAGCAAAGCTGGGCTGTACTTTCAGACAAAGACTCTGCTGGCGCCGTACACAATAGTTTCTGCATGTCACCTGCTCCCTGCACACTTTGGGAAAATTTTGGTTTATGGTTCCCTGTAACTCTTCTGGAAGACCAAGTTCCTGCTCTGGACAGCAGCAGAGCTGCTGCTCTGAAGCTGTGTTTGTCTAATTAGGTCATAACAGCTCATTTCTTTTTCCTCAAACCTGCTCTCGAGTACCCCAAAGGACTTTCCAAGGTTTAAACTTTTGCCGGGAGAGATTCTCAGGGCCAATTAAACAGATCTACAGCCATTTTCAGACATGGTACACCCGAGTAGACCCAAGAGCCCCAGCTCACAGCACCCCAAGGCTCTCCCCCTGCAGATGTGCTCTCATGACCTTGGGTCTCAATCCCACTCCCACTCCTCATAAGCCCATCTACTGTTTTCTGTATTCGTTTTTTTTTCCTACTAGTTACAGCCCAGAAACATCTACTTAGAGCTGGGTTCTTTGTTCCCCTGTGTAATAACAAGAGGTGCCCCCCCCTTCCCCTTGCACTGGCAGATCCCTGTTGCACTGTCGATAGAGCAGTCGGTGCTCTGAAATCCGGTTTTTCTGCCGTCTCTGCTGGTGGGAAGACTCCCTCTGCTGTTCTAAACCAGCAGAAGGTCCGGGGTGACAACCCCTCACAGCACCCCCAAAGTTGGGAGCTGCACAGGATGTTTTAAAGTAGGTCAAGCTGACCTTCACAGTCAAAGAAATGTCCCTGTAGTTGGTCCAGCTCAGAGAGCAGCTTCCATCAGCAGTGGGAAAAGCCAGAGCTGGCTTTGGATCTTGAAAAGTGTTGGTTTGGGTTTTTTTTTTTATTGGGATGAAGGAAAATATTGTGCTTAATTATCAAAGAAGCCGTCAAAGAACACAGACTGCAGAAAAAGAGGTAAGGGCTGATTTTAGCTTTCTGTTCCTATTCAAGCACGTCTGCAGCTTGCTGCTGATCCTTTGGTGTCGCTTCAACACAGCTCTGTAGATTATTTATTTTATAAAGTTTTTAGAGGTAACTCAGCAGACAAAGCCCGGCGCTATCAGCACATGAGTGCTGATGGATCAGGAATGCTCTGACATCCCGGTCAGACTCCAGCTGTCTGCTGGAGACAAGCAGGTGACCAGAGCCAAGAAAACCACATCGCAGGGCTGCGCTTCGTTTTGAAGAGAGGAAAAAACAACCCAACCAAACATTGGAACAATACTCCAGAGAGACTTTTCATTTGCTCCTCGAGATGAATTTTAATTCCAAGGCTCCCCTATGAAAAAAACAGCACAAATATAAGGATCAGGGAGGCTCCGTGTGTATGCAGCACCCTGGTTATGAGGTACAGCAGATTATTACATCAGGTCATGGGAGTATGTCACATTCAGATGATTTCTACATGCTTAGTAACACGTTATTTACTTGAACGTTGCTCCACAGATGTTTACAAGGTCTTTAGCAGAGTGCTGCAAGCTGACCTACCCCAATATATCCATTCTGTATATATTTCTGGGCAAAATTGATGACCAGGTTAATAGATTTGGACAGAAATCATGGCTTTACCTCAGCAGGATTGGTTTCCTCCCACTTTTGCCACAGGATATCAGCTTGATATGATATTTGGAGAAATGTGCTGTTGCGTTCACACCCGTAACAGCCACACACACATCACTTACAGCCCCTGACAATCCACGCCAACAAATCACCACACCTTTAGCTTAAAGAAACTTCCTGGCCGTGCTGTGTAGTTTTCTGAGACAGGAGGGGGAGGTGGGTGGGAGAAAAATAAAGGTGTATGTGTATTCTGGGGTGCACTATTCCACTCCAGCTGTTTCACCAAGCAGACGTGGGGAGTGGCTGTGGGTGGGAGGGCTCCGGACTGCAGGTCTAGAGGGAAAGCAACCCCGCTCTGCCCCCTGACACTCACCTCACGTGGAGAGCTTCACCTGGTCAGCGCAGAGCAGGAAGGCGTTGACGTGGTCGCTGCAGTTCACGACAGAGGCCTGGTTCTCCTTCAGGCACTGCTCGAAGGCAGCGAACGGCTCCGCGCAGTCCCGGCGGATCTGCTGCACGATCGGGCTGCGAGACAACACCGGGCCCTCAGCTCCCGGGAGCCGCACGGCCCAGGGCCGCCAGGCCCAACCGGCCTGAGATCCAACCCGGCAGGCCCAGGCCCGGCCCCGGCCCCATCCCGCCCCTCCCGCACTCACTGCGCGGCGGCGCAGCGGGACATGCTGAGGCGGAGGCCGTGACAGTCGCGCTGCCAGGAGGCCGGGCTGGCGGCCACGCACCGCCCGTACTGCTCCATCTCGCTGCGGCAGTAACGCGCCGTGATCTCCAGGGCCGCCTGCCTGCGGGGAGACGCCGGAGTTAACACAGGGGAGAGGGGGAGCAGCGCAGCCCTGCCCGGTGCCCCCGC